ATTTATTTAATAATCTATAAAATTAATAATTTATTAGTTTAAAAAATAAAAAATAAAAAATTTTGTTAAAAAATTGTTTTTTTTTAAAAAAGAATTGTAAATTTTTTTTTTAAAAAAAAAAGTTATATGGCAAAAAACTTTTTCAATGTATTTAATTAAAAAAACTTATTTATTACTAAAATAGAATAGTGTATGCATATTTATTAATATTAATCTATAAATGGTAAAATTATTTATAAATCGTTCAACAATCTTATATACATATATGCATATATGCATTTAATTTATTATTATATTGTAATGTATTACAGTATGGTCTTTTTTTACTATAATGTTATGCATGACTTAATTTGTAAGGAAGAACCATGATACATCACAAAATTATTACACAATTGATGAGATTTTTTTTTATATTATTTTACAATACTTTTTTGGAAGACTATCTTTTCCATGAATATTAAAAATGGTTAAACAAACTTGAAGCTCTCACTTTGCTTTACAACATATTTTTTGAATCCTCTTGTGTAAATTTCGCAATTTGATTGGTTGACAAATCTCATAGTGATATTTTTGACTAGTCGATACAATGAGTGATCAGTGTAACAGATAATGAAAATTATATCTAAATTTTGACTGCCCTAAGATCTAATAGTCAGGTAACCTTATCTTAATTATCAGAAAAAAATCTTATACAAAATAAATATGTTAATCATCTGGAATTTATATTTGGTCAAAGTAATACAAAACTTATATTTATTTGTTATGTTTTTGATTATCTAATTAATTGACTTATATGTATTAACTATCGAAAATGGAATTTTCAAAAAGTTTCATGCCAGTCTGCATGCATATTTGTATTTTAGTGTAACAAAACCAAAATTTCACTAATGAAGCGTAGTCATAGCTGCCACAACAAATTTGGACTGGCAAATTCTCGATTTCGATTGGCTAATAGCCGAGGATCTTCAAATTTTTGGCCCACATTACAAAATTGGTTATTAATTTCCGGCTGGAATTAACTTTTTAATTTTTTTATTACAAAAATAAAAATTCTTAAAAAATAAACCCGCATTATGATAAAATTGGCCCAGAAACAATTTTCATTTAATAGGTGGCTATGGTTTCATTAGTAAAATTATGAGTAATTCTGGCCTAATCTTTTTTCTGTTGCTTTTAGCCAATCAAAATCAGATTAATGTTAATAGACTTATTCCAGTATTCATTAGAATTTAATATTTGGTTATGGATTTTTTCTATAATATCTAATTTAATGGTGAAAATAAAAATATGCGCTAATGCAGTGTATAATACAATATTTATTAATTATCTTATTTTGAGAATTATAATTTGGGCACCCTAATCACGGGGTATAAATAGTGATTATCTAATCAGTAAATTTTTTTTTGCTTTTTGTTTTAATCGTTACTAATAATTTTTTTTTAGTCAATAGATATTTATTCGTCGTTACTAAAGCCGTCGTTTTGCGATTTGGTGTTATTATTCGTTTTTGTCATTCGCTAGTGCCTTGGTGAATTACTTATTTGTAGTTTATTTGTCATTACCAAAGCTGTCATTTTGCGATTTGGTGTCATCGTTTGCTAATAACTTGGTAATTTGGTGTTGCTTTGTTGCTGGTATAGACTTTGCTGCTTTTGGTGTAATTTTGTGAGCTGTTATTAGGTATACCATAGTTTCGCTCCTTGTGTATTGGTATACTACTCTTAGTTAATGAAATCATCCTCATTATGATATTAGTTATATTTCATTATATAACAATATAGACAGGTTAGGTTAGATTAGGGTATTTGTTAAATTTGTTGGTTTATAGTTGCTGGAACGTATGTATAGTTCTATTTATTCATTGTCTTAGTTTACCATTGTGAACTGTTACTAATGCTTTATTCTTTCTAGGGTGTTAAGAGCATTTTGGAGTTTTCTTTTTGGTATGAATGCCAAAGTATGATTTTTTGTATTCATTATTCCTTCTGTTTTGGATTGTAGCTATATTATTGACTTTCTTTTCATTTTCTTGGCTTGTTATGGATGTCTTCAGACTTTCTTGAGAATTCCGGAAAATAAGATTTTTCTTTGTTGATTGTTTTGGTATATCAGTTGTGAGCATGTTATTAACACTTTTCGTCTTATAGGTGTTTTTAATGCGTATTTGGATTTGCTTTCGACATTGGTATTGCTTTCATTTTGCAGTTTCGATTGTCTTATGATTTGCAACTTCTGGTATCATCGTTGTTATCGAAGTATTTTTGTTATTGTCTTTTGTGTCTTTAGTAAAGTAGGCTTCTGCATGGGCCAAGTAGGGCCGGGTACTAGTGATACCCTTACCCTAACCGTTTGTATGTAGGCCAATTTATCTAAGCCCTAGGGCTAATATCCATACCCGGCCTATTAGGATGTGGGTACCCTTCGAACTACCCATGAGTCCTGTCAAAAATATAAATATATACGGTTTCAATTATTTATTTTGTATAAACTTTAAATAAAGTCATACTGCGTATAAATAAGAATCAACACTTTAGCTTAAATTAAAAAAAAGAAATCAAATCTGATAATTATTATTGTATAATGATAACAAGAAAATTTAAAAGTCGTACAAAATTCAATCTGATAAGAATTTTTTCATGATTCTAGAAAATTAAATTGTTCATTACTGAAAGAATTATGAAATTTCAAAGTAAAAGAATAAGGAGTTTTAGTATATAGTCGTCGTCCTCTATAATAATACTATTTGTTTTATATAAAAAGTATAGGATTATAAAATTTTAATTGTAATGTAATTATATAGAGTTTTTTTTAATAATGTATTGTTAATGATTTTTTTAAAATGGTGCTTATAAAGAAGGTGAGATTATATAGTAAAGGAGGACGACTGTAATTTGTTGGAAATATCCTTTTCACAGTTACAATAAGTTTTAAGAGTTGTACAAGAAAACACTGCATGTTCTGGGATAATAATTTTTGACTATTATTAGTTAATATACATGTCATCAGAAGTAATATTAAAGAAATCAGGCAATAAAAATTTGCGATTGAATAATTTATTTCAAAACTTACTTGTTGTTCAAGGAAAGACAATGTGCAGAAGGAACTGTCCGCATATGTGATGATCAATGCATTTCTTATTGTTCAATTTTTAGAATTATTATGAAAGAGTTAAAATTGTAATAGTAAAGTAAAATTTCACAAAAAAATCGTATGTATGTACATTACACTTAATCTTAAAGTCGATCATCACATGGCAGTTAACATCCTGATGCCGTTATTGTTCAAATTACAATTGTATGAAAATCTATTAAAATAAAAAATTATATAAAACTTCGTAATCTTACTATCTTACCAAAGCAAAGCAAGTTTATTTGTTATTTTTTGATTCTTCACATTTACATTTAAATTTGAAAAAAATCAAACTAATTTGTGAAGTTCTATTAGTTTTGCTGTAACATTTATCTATCCACATTCAAATCTACCCCAAAAAAGAAAGATTCACAAAGCAAACTAGATAAAAAAAAAAATTCGTTAACAAATTTATAAATCCTAACCAAACTTATCTGCCATATCTAACCAATTTCTTTGGCACATTAAATGCTGCTATTGTATCTGGGTCTAATAAAGTACGACTATCGTCAATAATACGACCTGCACAGCTAAATATCTGTTCTAATGCAACGCTTGAAGCAGGTATTGCAAGAAAATCCTGCGCCATTGCTGATAGATTAGGAAATCTCTCTATATTATGCTTCTACTATTCAAGTATATTGATAGTTTTCTGATTAATTGGTTTATCTAAATACCATTTTACTTCACAAAGCGGATTCTTTTTGCTTACCCAAGTCTGCTTTGCAGCATATTTGAAGAAATAATCAATGTGGTTTTCAAACATTAATACATCATTTTGAATATTAATAGCAACTTCATTATCACGATCAACAGTTGAGGAATACGTACAAAGATATATATCTTCAAATCTAATTTTAATAATATTAGAAATAAAAATAAACATAAGTATATATATAATATTTAATTAATAAATATTCATACTTCATTCGAATATTCTGTATTTTTTCATCAAGATCATATAGTAACAATTTTTCCTTTTTACGGTAATAATATGAAATAAATTGAATTTTGTAATGAGGATCCAGAATACATGTGATCATATGTAAGAAGATATTATCTTCCCAATACTTATTAAATTTTTCAATTATAGGCTAACTGATATCACGAATAAAGCTATCTGAATGAGATTTCATACTTATAAGATGAGTACAAATATTCCAAACTGAAGCAAGAGAATTGTTAAGAGCTGGGTATGAATTTGCTGACACTTTCAAAGTATCTATTTTTATTAAAATTTTTTTAAAAATTAGTCTAGTTATTCGTATTAGTTTTCTTAATTCGATTATTTTATTGTACAGTAATTATATCCTTTTTTTGAATTACAAAAAATTTATATTTTTATAATACATACATTTATAAAAGGGTCTTAATATATTGGTAATAGCCTCCTATTCCTCATCATCGGGTATATCAGGAAATGTTTTATCTCTGTCTTTCATTCTAAGAATCATACTTGTAACTCGTGCAACTAATTATAACATTAGAAATGTCGAGTTCTACCGTGTATCACAGTCTAATAGCGGAACTACAGGTTTTAGAGATTCAGATTTACAAATATCCAAAAACATTTGACATCTTTTTGGTGATGTATGTATTGCTTTAATGCAACTACGAATCTAAACAAATTTAATAAAAGCATCATATGCTAACTATTACAGTATATTATATTGAATAAAAAATTAACATTGATTTTTAATTAAGTATATAATTACCTTTCCAATAGCTTTGGTGATTTTTTTTAAACCATCTTTTATGATAAGGTTTAGGATATGGGCAAGACACCAGTTATAAAAAAGCTCCTCATCGATTTGTATATAAGAGTCTTAAGAAATGAGATTGGCTAATTTATGAATTGCAACATTATTTGATACGGCATTGTCAAGAGTAATGGTTTGTAACTATACTAACAAAGTTATTAATATTTAAAAAATACTCATTTAAAACTATGTTAAATACAAGTTAAAATGTCCAGACTTATGCAATTTCAAGGATTTTTCATTGTTTAAACAATGAAAAATCCTCAAAATCGCATAAGTCTAAACGTTCTAATACAAGTATAAAAATATAAATTACTTTTTAACTACCTTAGTGATAATAAACTATTTATCCATTTCTGCCTTAATACAATTGGCAATATTAATTCCAGTATATGGATAAGGAATTAATGGGAATGATAATAAGATTCCAGTTCTTATCAAAAAAATGTGCTGTAACCGACAAGTATCCAAGTTGCTAAAAGGACGTCCAAGCATCACAGGTAAGAGAGATTTTACCTTTAGCATTTTGAAGGATTTCTTTAATCAATGTTTTTCTTTTATTGTAAGTTTTTATAATGTCTCGCTTTATTGTATTAGCACTGATACTAAAATCAGGTAATAGTCTATCAATAAGCTTACAAAAGCCCCGCCCTTCTATAAACTGGAAACTCAACTCATCCAAAACTAACATATCGGCAATATTTTTTCTAGTTAACTCTTTCATATATAGTCTTTTTTTTGTTTAAATATTAAATATTAATTGAGTTTGACTATCAGATGAATTTGGTTTCGAACCATTATTATGATATAAAAACTTTTGGTACTTAAGACAGGCATCAAGATAATGCCCAAGGTGAGATGTTTCACTTCCTTTTTTGTGACTTAAAATAATTACATTGGGCTTTTTCTTCATTTTTTTCATTAATTACTTTTGAAAAACTGTTCCATACAGCAGATGTATACTTTGATAATGCAAGTTGACTGGAGGTTTCACTGTAAGTTTGGCTGATGGCTCTATTAGTAGTTTTATTAGTAGTTGAGCTGTTAATCAAGACAGTATCCAAGTCAGAGACAGATGTTAGTACAAATGATGTTGAGGCAGAGTCAATATTATAGTCATTGACTTTATAGATATTTATGGGGTCATCCATATTAATGCTTTGGTAGTGTTTAGTAAATGTTTAATGTTAATTAATTTTTCCAGAAAAGTTTTATTATACTTATAATAAAAATTGCAGTAATTAATTATAATATACCGTGGCTTAGCAGTTTTTCACTAGTCTTATTGGTAAGTATGTTAATACTTTAATGTGTTTCTATCTTAGTATTCTAGTAGTACTTTAATGTGTTGGTACTTTAGTGCATTGGTATGTAATTTAGTACATAATTTAGTACGTTGGTGCATACCTTAGTACGTTGATACTGTTATAGTGTGTTGGTTTAGTAAATTAGTAATCTAGATGTTGGGTGTTGGTAATTTAGAGTGTTGGGTGTTGGTAATCTAGAACATTAGGCATTGGTAATTAAAAGTGTTGGGCGTTGGTAATTAATAGTGTATTTGATGTCGACAATTTAGCGCATTGTATTAGTTATCGATCGTTAAGTGGGATAAATTTCCAAAGAATGTAATAATTATTAATCATACATATATATGTATTATACACCTGTATTATGATTGGTTGGTAGTCACATGAATATAGTAACGGGTATCCGTGGGCAGTAAGCAGTATTACCCAAGCCCTACCCAGCTTTGTAAGGGCTCAGCACCTGGGGCCCTTACTTATATTTACGGGCCCAGAAATCGGTATCCTGGCCCGGCCCTTATGGTACTACCCATGGGTATCTATAGATAGCCCAGGCCCATGCAGAAGCCTACAGTAAAGTCTTTATCTTTTTGTGTACTGTGTCAGGTGCTTCATTTGCTATATTTGGTATTTTGTTGACACTTTATTGTGGATATAAATTTTCCGTTATGGCTTCGTTAGTGTGTAGTTAATAGTGAAATTTGTAAATTAATAAATAATTTTTCAATTAATAAATTAATCTGTACAAATAAATAATTTTTTATAACTACATTAGTATGTATATTTTCAATTAATAAATTAAAACTGTAAAGTAGTAATATTATCGTCATATATCAATCAGGTCGATCACGTGATATAGGTGCACTAGTGCACCAAAAAAATAAAATCCAACTCCGTTTTGGCGGAGTTTGAATTTTGCCAATTTCGCAGAAATGCGAAATGGCAAAAGTTACGTGATACCGCCACTAAGGCAGACTTTAAAATCTCTGATTAATGAAGCTACTTATGATACACTAGTCTCTGTTACAAAAAAAAGTAATGGGCCCCATGAAATACCCCTGCTAATACAGAGGTATTTCATGAGCCCGTTACTTTTTTTTATAACAGAGATTAGCGTATTATAAATAGGAAGATTAATGCGCTTTTGTTGATCAGTAAATCGTTTGTCCAATCTTTTTCTTAATTCTTTGTTTTCAGATAATAATTGTCTATTAGAATTTTCTAATTCCTCTATTTTTTTTAAAAGCATCTTACATGTTGGATCTAGTAAAGATACTTGAGATCCAAAATCAACAGAATTTTTTTCTAATAAATTAACTTAAGCGCCAAAATCAACAAAAGTTTTCTCAATATTAGAAAGTTTTAATCTTTTTCTCTTAGATTACCCGAATCTACAAAAACTGGTTTACCTGTCTTTTTTTAAATTATTAATAAAAGAGTTTTGTTTTTAGCAACAATTTAATTGTAGTGATGTTTATATAAAGAAAAATACATTATAGAATCAAATAACAAAGTCAATTCAGGAAAATACTTAGCCAATTCTGTTAGTCTCTTTAATGCAGCAGATGCCCATGCATTTTGCTATTTTTGATTCTCTTCAGTCTTACAAATCACCGTACATTTTACTGCTTCGCTTTTTGGCAAGAAAAGTAAAAAAACAAAGCAGCTTTTTTATCTTCAAGCTTGAATCTATTGCTAATCAATATATAAATATATGTGATTTTAAACTTGATTTGAAAGAAAACTAATTTGTTAGTTCTTTGGGATCTTTAGAGATTCTAAAACTACGTATTCGAAAATAAACTTTTTTAAAAGCTAGCTTTGACTTTTGTCACGGAACTAGACTGACATAGCATTTGTAACTTTTATACAAAAGACTATTAAAAGCCAATCACATGCTAGTGCATGATCATTGACTATTTTAGAAATGATCTTCAGATTTTGAAATATCCCGACTATATTAGAATATGACACAGATCTTATATAACAAGACGCAAATTAAAATTTTTGGGTAATAAGGGACATGCCATTTATCACGTAATAAAATTGTATTAATAGCCTATCACATCCATCTATGGTGTGATCTCAATTTTGATTGGCTAGAATATATACAATATATATACAATATATATAATAGTATATATAGAATTTTTAAACTTAAATAACTTTTGATTTACCACTACCAAAATGTTCGGCTAAGTGAGATGAATCCAACAAGCCCAAAATCATCCAAATGCAATTACAGAATCCCAAGATTACTAAGTTTTTTATAATTATAAAATTATAAAAAACTTTAGCGATCTCATGATCCTGTGATTGGATTTGGATGATTTTGGGCTTGTTGGATTCGTCTCACTGAGCCGAACATTTTGGTAGTTAAATCATCCAAAACAGACTGGTATATCAAAAGTTACTAAATTTTAAAAATTCTATATTATATTTATATATATATTATATATATTTCCTCAAATCTGATTGGTCAATTGGCTATTTTGTGTAACGTGATCAAGGTCACTGACCATGTATCCATGGTAAAAATTACATAATAAATGGCACACTCCTAAGTAAAGTATAAAATTTTTTTAAACAAATATAGCATTAAAGTAATACAACCGATACATCGAAACCAGAAGTTTTCAATTATAAAATTTTTAAGTATTGATCTTTTTTTTTAACAAACTTTACTTTGAATGAATGTGGCATTTTCTGTGTTCGACCTTATATCAATTAGATTAATAAATTAATTTATTTTATAGTAAATTTTTACCATATGGGCTGATTTAAGTAATTTATAGTTGGAGTTTATTTTTTTAAAAACTTTAAAGCTAAATAACTTTTGATATACTGATCCATTTTGAATAATTTTACTACCAAAATGTTCGTCTCTTTGAGACGAACATTTTGGTAGTAAAATCATTCAAAATGGATCAGTATATCAAAAGTTATTTAGCTTTAAAGTTTTTAAAAAAATAAACTCTAACTATAAATTACTTAAATCAGCCCATATACTTTACTTGCTACCCAAACCCAAAATTAATAGATCGCTTTGATATAATCTTACTCAAACCCAAGATTAACAGTTCGCTTTGACACATTTCTAAATTCTAAAATAAAATTGACTCAAAGTCTAAATCTAAATCAGGTTCAATTCCTAATTTCAAATAGCTTTATTTAAGTAGGTGGTATGGATTAGACCAAAAACATGATATACTTAAGAGATAAGTAATATACCAGTTATAAAGTTTATATTTAAAATAACCTTTTTTTATCTTTGTCTATCATGTAGGCTCTCACTAACTTGCTGATTTAATTCCACTATTTAATAAGTTTCATACTTATAGGTTGAATGAAATAATCTGCTCAACTAAACAATTTAGAGTATACTATGTAATGATAAATAAGTATTTATATTTTTAGTTTGAGAACTTAATTTATTTTAATTTTTCTAAATACACATAGATTTTAAAGTAAAACAAGATATTAATATGAATATAATGATTTGAAAGGTATATATAATAGTAAATAAATATTTATTTCTTGGTTTTTGTGATTTAACTCTACTAACTAATAAATGATCTTTATATTTGAAGGACGTTATTGTCCGGAGCGTAGCGGAGAACTTAATGGGGAAATAATAGACCAAAATTTTGTGTGTATTGGGTTTTGCTCATGTGATATTGAGCCAATCAGCATTTCAAAACTTATAAACAGATCAACACGGATCAGCCCGATAAGGCAGGTGTTTCTGTAAAAATTATAATATACTCCAGACTTTAATGTTTCACGTTTTCCTAGTATAATAGTAGTAGTAATACGATCCAAACTATTTACAGTAAATAATAGCATTATAGCATTTAGGGATTTATACCGAAATCCTAAACATATATTAGTTTAGAACAATTATAGCATAAGTTCCAAACTACATCAGCGAAATATATTAACGTAATTTTACGTAAGTTATTACGGCCCGAAATATTGCGCAATAATTACGGTC